CATCCTCGAAGTCCTCCTGTAGTCGCTGAAGCACCTCGATCTCTGTAGCGAAAGCCGGCCAGTCCTCCGGGCTATTAGACATATCCACTAGATCCGAGCAGTTTGTCTCAATCCGTATCGAAATCATCTTCAAATCTCTCATACATGTGACTGCCCACAGTAAGCCTTCCATCTCGACATGCAGAGCTGATAGGCTCCTTCTACACGCCCGTAATTCGAACCATTCAGAACCCATTTGATCCTTGAGACTCCATCCTAAGCCACTGACACTACCATTATTGATCCATGATGCATCAATTTGGCATGTAGGGATTTGGGGGATCCTAGGGGGCTCTGAACTAGGAGGTACCTCATGATCCTCATTTACTTCCTCCTTCTCGTTTGCCTTCCTCCAATATTCTGCCTCAAGAGACGCATATTGAAGAATGTCCATTGGAGATACTTCTTTCCCATTAAAGAGTTTGTCGTTCCTTGTCTTCCAAATATACCAACAAATCCATGGGAAGGTGTCGAATTGTGGTCTCCTAGGAGCCACTTCTTTTCGCTTCCAAAACAGAAAGTTTATGTTTTGGTAGTGTTTTGTTAAATTAAGATAAATGGAAAACACAAGCAATTCAGTTAATAGTATTATCGTTTAATGGGTTTTTGACATTCCTATATAAGCCCATAACTGAGACCTATTAATAGTATTGATATTTGCAGAAGAGAGACTTGAATCTAAAGCAAAAGACCTAACTAATGCCGGGGGAACAATTACCAAGGGACTTGGTAGGAGACATACTTTGTCGCTTGCCACTGAAATCTCTTGCCCGATTCAGAGCGGTGTGTAAGGAATGGAACACTATTTGGGAAGATAAGAGTTTTTCGAACTACTACTTGTCTCGCACGCGTCCTCAATTCATGGTAGCGACCAAGTACCAGACTTGTTCGATAGAAATCAATCTCGACGAGGAGGACCATGTTTTGTCGTCGATAGTGGAGCGTGATATAACTTTAGAATATCCATGCGAAACACATACATCGTTAGGTTATTGTGATGGGTTCGTGTTATTTTGTATGCAAAAGAAAGGGTTTGCGATTTGGAACCCTTGGGTTAGACAGAATAAGTTTATAGAGAATCATGTGGAATTCGATTACTGTGGCATAGGGTATGATAATCTTACGGGTTACAAGATATTTGGGTTGAAACGTTTTTACAATAGTAGGGGAGAAGACAACTACAAAGTTGCCATCTACGAGTGCAAATCTGATGTGTGGAAGTTTATTAATGACAACACTGGTCTAGAACCACGACGTCTGATAATGCTAGATAATATCGTGTCTATTAATGGGAATTTATATTTTGTTGCCATCGATACAAAGACTCGTGAATCTTTCCTCCAGTGCTTTGATTTCTCAGAGGATAAATTCAAGACTATTTGTGCTAATTTACCTATTATGGAAGGTTGCTATACAGGACTCCTTGCGGTTTTCAGGGGAGATAGACTGTCCTTGTTAATGCATTCAGAAGAAGTGGATATGAAGGTTGAGATATTGGTGTCAAAACAAAGGGTTGAAAAATATGGAGAGGTCCTAGAGTGGATAAGTTTCATGACAGTGTCAATACCTAACTTCCCGAGTTTACAACCGCACATTCTTTACCCTCGTCCTACTTACTTTGTTGACAGCGAGAAGAGGCTATTTGTGTGTACTTTTGATGAAGCTGAGCATCTTTGCATCTACATTGTCAAGGGAGATGTGTTGAAGAAGATTCCAATAGATTCTGTGTTGGTTGATATTTTCTGTACTACCTATATGAGTTATATTCCTAGTTTTATCTCCATTCCTTGTGTGTCAAGGGAGATGTCCTAAGAGTAAGATTCAAATAGACTAATCCTATATGATTTGTAGATTCCAACACAAGAGAACAAAGACTATGTTTGTGTTATCATTCATATGCGATTTATCGGAGTTTTTTTTAATTATTATAAAAAGTTATATATGTTTGAAGCACCTGTTCTTAAAGCAAGTCTAGGTGGGCACGTTCGTATATGTGTAATCTAGGTGGGCAAGTCTGATCTATGCCCTTTTTCTTGAGAAAGGAAAACGGTTCTCCTAATGAAGTCTAAACCACTCATTAACATAATAACATTATCATCTTCCAAAATTACAACAAGCTCTAATATATTCAGTCCAAAAGACCATGAAGGCTTCAACGCTGATGTTCCATATACTTCCAAAACATTGGAAGAAATTTGTTCAACAAAAAGCTGTTCTACCCTAGCTACTTAAAACATGGTACTTCTAGCTAAACTCCATGTGCTACTCAAGATCGTGCCTCGGTGAAACAATTCCTTCATTCTGTTCCATCATCATCATTGTCATCATCGTAAGCTGCTGCCAGTCACAAAACTTGGTAAATAAAAAAAACAAACGGGGTATTCTCACATTTATTATATAAAAAAAAAATATATGAGCTAGTTCTTTGTTTTACCTTGAAGGCTTTCATGAACAGTGTGATGGAGAGGCGTGCTTGCCATTTTGACCAGAGGGCGAGGGACGAGAGACGAGCTTTCCCTTTTGACTTGGCGCATGCTTTCCCTTTCGAGCCGAGGGAGAGGTATGAGAAACGTGCTTTCCCCTGCTTAACCGTATATGGTTACATATAGGCTTAGGGAGATGTTTCAAGGACTCACCTTTGTGTAAAGGAATAGGTCGCTGATAATTAAGGACCTGATAGATTAGCGCAGGAAGGCCAGGCATGAATTTGGAGTCAACCATCCGACCCATTCGAAGTATCAGATCATAGGCCAGTTTACCGAAATCGAAAGGTGTTTGCTTCACAAGCATGTAAAGGAACTTAGCACGATCCAAGGAGAGAGTGCAGGTGTTTGTTGTCGGAATCCAATTAGCACAGCACATAACATGCAATGCTGCTAGAGGAGGTGTAAGATAAGCAGGGGTTAGCTTATTCCAGTCGTTGACATTGCCTCCGGACAGTGTTTCAGCAACCAAATTCAAATCCACATCAATGGAAGTCTCTTTAGGACGAGTGGTGGTCCTTTTTCTTCGAGGGAGCTCCAACACAGCGCTTATGAGCTTAGGAGAGAATTCATACATATGCCCTCTTACAAACACCATATCCTGTTTACTTGGTGGTAAGTTGGCATAAAACTCCATGACGACTTCAAGGACATAAGGCTCCACACAGGTCACTGTGCTCAGAATGTGACTGTCCTTAAGAATCTGCTCAACTCCAAGACTAGCAAAGCTCCCAATATCTACTGCTCTCTGATCAACTAGTCCCTTTTTCAGGAAGGAATCATACCGCAAACGATTTTGATCAGCCAGGAACGATTTGTTATAAGGAGGATGAGGGGGACGAGTTGACTGTGGGTTCAAACGGTGGGATTTCTGCATGCTCTTCCCGAAACATTTTCATACGATCAGCTCTCCTCCTCTTGTCACCGCCTCCTTCTGGAGATATAATAATAATAACACAGTCTCTATCGGATTCCGAACTATCAGAATCTTGTCTTCGGATACCCCATTTTTGGGTCTCTATCTCCTTGCGTTTCTGAGTCAGCTCCTCCTGCTTCCGAGTTGTCACCATAGCTCTCTCTCTACCAATGGCGAGGAGGATGTCTGCTACAACCAAACCCTAGTTTCTTCTTTTACTTCCAACCCTTGGCTCATTAAAGCAAAATCTTTTTTTTTTACACCAAAGAATTCCTGGGAGCCCAATTGTTTGTAGTGGGAAGGCTTCTTCTGTACACAAACTTTTTTTAAAGAAATATTTAATTAATATATTTTTAAAATAAACATACTAATAAATAGTTATATATCTAATTACATTTTAACCAATAAAAAAATAAAATAACATATGAAATGAATAAATTTTAGGTTAAAATTATTAAACTACATTTATTTTGAAATAAAAATTTTACTTTATAACAACAAATAAATTAGAATGGAGATAGTATTAACTATAACACTTAAAAAGAGTAACTAGAATTTAATGGTATAGAAATTTGAGGAGATTTTTTTCCCATTCAACATCTCCCTTCTTTGATCTGGAATTTGAACAGATCTACTAAAATCTAAGATTACTTGAGATAAATTTCGGTTCTAGCGGTTCAGAAAAAAATCTCAAAATAACTCTGTTAAATATTAGATGTATTTTTCATTTTTTGCATTTAATATCAGTAGCTTGAATAAATTTCTATATTTTGGACAAAAATTATTAAGGTAATTTAAATATTTTGAAATTAAATATAATTAATATTTTAAAGCATATAAATAGTATTTCAGAAACCAGACACCTATTTGGTTTGGGTTTTTAGTTAGGTTTAGATAACAATGTTAGAAAAAATTAATATTATAATTAAAAAATTAGTTCTAATCCAATTCTGGCCATTGTAAATGATATCTAGCCGGACAAGCTTACCGTGATGAAACTGAAACCCTACTGGCTTCCATATATGGTTAGAAGATGTACTGGTCTGTCTCTCTCTTCCAGCAAGCACCAATCGGTGGAATTAAGAGCAATCTCTCGCTGACATAAAGACCAGGCTCTTACACTGGTTTTGGCTAACCGGTAGTGTCACCCCAGTTATCTGCAAGGCTGACTTATGATGCCTCAGTAGTAGCTCGTCAAAACTCCAATGAATCTCTCCATTTTATACTCTGTTTTGGTTTGTCTCCATACTTGTCAGTTGTTCATTCTCTCTCGTTGTAAAACTTCATTGCAATCACTGGCCTAGCTTTGACCTGCCATAAGACATATACTTCTTTTCAATATATATCCATCTCTTCCTTTTTCCTCCATTCTTTAGATACCTCTTCTATCTGACTTTATCAGCTCAGCTATGGAATACATCTCTCTCATCTTCTCATCCACGAGCTCCCTGTCAAAACAATTTACCAACCAACCCTTATTTGCCAGTAAAAAAAGCTTTGCTATCAACTGTGATTCAAAACGCAAAACTTAAAAGCAGACAAAAATCCTTATTTAAATCTTTGACTTGGGAAAAGATTCATGAGACAACAAAACTGAACTGATACACATTTACTTATGCTTTATGCTGTTTCATGAAATTATTCCTTGATTCCACAGATTTAACTCATAGCAAATGTCAGATCAGATCATATCAGAAATGATGATATAGTGGGGCCCTTTCAAAACCACAGACTCTTGTTACTTTGAAAGTAGGAAGACTAGAAAGCTTGAAACAGAAACGGACCACACATAAAACGGCTTAATGACAGTCTAAAAATTCCTGAAAACAATATAATTCTTCTTTAGTGTTCTTATCTCTATATTCATAAACTGAATTACTAGAAACTTAATCAAAAAATACTGCAAGCTAAACAAAATTTGAAGAGTACTTACTCTCAAAGGGAAGGGCCAGTGTAACGAGCAGGATCATCAATCAGACAACTCTAAATCCGGGACAAAGGAGTAAATGCAAAGACTCAGCCTGATTCTGCTTTGACACAGCCACATGGAGAAAAAGCTGGTTAATCCCATCATCACCTCAACCGCATCACGAAAAGACTGATCTCTTCATTCCCAACGGATTTCTTCAGAACAGCACCCACTTCCTCCTCTTCTTCCTTAGGTTAGTTGGTTGGTTCATAAATAACAAAACCCTAAATAAGCGAGCGAGGGACCATTTCGGTTCAATGTCGGTTCGGTTTGGTTTTTATTATTATATTATAACAGAACTCAACCAGAATTAGATTCGGTTTGTAATCGGTTTGAAAAACTGATTCAAAGAGAAAGCTTTTTCTTGTCTTTTTTTATGTCCCGGACATTGGATTCAACATAGTATGTAATTTTTGGAGATATCAAGGCAAAGTCTGATGATATATGAACTAAAAAAGAGGGAAGAAACATATGTTCATATCATCAAAAGGAGTGGGTGATTGGTTTCTTTCAACTAAAATCATTCTTAGGTTTCTTTCTCTACAAGATATACAAATGTCGTGTAATCAAAGAAAGAGAAGACAACATTTACTTCTTCTTCTTCTTCTTTCCTCCACCACCACCGCTCTTATTCTTTCCACCACCACCACCACCACCACCACCACCCTTCTTTCCACCACCACCACCACCCTTCTTTCCTCCACCACCACCACCTCCACCTCCACCACCACCACCACCCTTGCCCTTCTCTACCTTCTCTTCTTCATTCTCTACACTTACTTCTTGACTACCTTTTTCTGCAACGTCAATTTCCTCTAATACCTTATCAATCAGTGCCTTCTTCTTTTCACTCATCCAATCTAAAATCTTAGAGAATCTTAAGTAGCACTCAAAGCAATGGCAGTGGAAGCACATTTTGTGAGTTCCAGCAATAGCATAAGGTTCAAGTAATTCTTCATTGAACTTTGTGAGAAAAAAACCTAGAATCTCAATTTCCAAAGGTGAGAAATCAGCCAGCAAGGTTCTAGTTTCTTCACTCAAGAGCCTCAGATGATAATGTATCACTTTCAGCTTATCTTTTGAAGTCAAGGCAGTTTCTTGTGACAGCAAAGTTCTAAAGGTAGAACGCAAACCAACCTCTTCTTCAAAGGTAGGATCAGTGTTTTTGACGCGGATGCTCATAACGTGATATACACGTTCTATCATCTTTTCGTCAAAGACACCAGCATGTTTCTGTGCTATGTAGTTGAGTGTCTCTTCCTCTGTGAAGTATTGGTTAAAGCAGAAAGTTACGACTTGAATCATAGCATCTTTCTTGTCGGACACGGCCTGATTAGATCAATATCCATATGATTATGATACAGCTATTATAACAAAGGAATGTGATTATCAAACATACCTCTCCTTTGTGGTAATGAGGATCACGCTTCATCTTCTTCATAATGCCATACATATTTGTGATCATGTCTTCTCCAAAAAGGTCCCCATGAGTCTTTGTTATGAAGCGTAGAGTATCTTCCTTACTAAAGGCATGTTTGAAGCAAAATTCTAGACTTTCCATAAGAAGATCTTTCTCCAAAATGGACATGAAGTTTATGTTGCCCTGATTATCAATCATATAATTGTGATTATCAGAATCAAAATCACAAAGAAACGAAACAAATCAAAGCTTTCTTTCAGAATGATATATGATTATCAATATAATCATAACAACATGCGTCAACATTGATTGAGACGAAACTAATCAACAGACAGAACAGAAGCTTTTAGAATGATGTGATTATCAATGTTTGAATATCAATATCAGAATGATGTTTGATTATCAGTATAAACATAACATATCAACATTAAGAATCAACAGAAACTTTCAGAATGATATGATATGATGATCAATGTTTGATTATCAATCAGAAAGGAGCATACCTCTCCTTGGTATGTGGGATTATGCTCCTTTATCTTGTTCATAATCGCTAACCCACGGATGATGATCTCTTCCTTGAAAAGTGTACCATGTTTCTTCCTTATGTACTTCACAGTATCAACCTTACTCAGAGAACCTTTGAAGCAAAAAAGTAGCGCTTCCATGAGCAGATCCTTGTCCTTCTTCTCCAACATCGGCATCCTGATAATCAATGATCGTAAATCTTAACAGAATTTAGAAAGGTATTAAAAGAACGAAGCGATTTCAATCAGAACATCCACATCGATCAAGGATTTAACAGACAATAATTTGTGATCATCATCAATTCAACATCATCTCGAAAACCTAATCGGTTACAACTGAAATCGACTTCGACTCTCAGCAAGAAGAAGATTTCAACAAGATTTGAAGTTCATCATTAGATATCGATCAGACATTGAAGTTCATACCTGTTGTAATGCGAGAATTTGTTTCAGTCTTCTCTCTGTCTCGTCTCCTCTGCTCTTCTCTCTGTTCTCTTCTCTCTCGTCTCCTCTCCTCTTCTCTTCTCTCGTCTCTGGCGGGGAGGAGGAAATACGATCTTTTTCTTTTTGAATGTTCGAATTTCGTTACTTTATTGTTGTAGTTGTGTTATTTGCCCATTATCGGCCCATAAGAGGAAAAAATATCACTCTTTTTATTGGCCCATTTTGTTTAATGAACTGGTAATCTACCTATTTACCCCGTTTTTAAGCTAAGGCCCTAACTTATTTTTAGCCGTTTCTTTTTTATTGATTCTTGTCCATTTCTTTGATTTTCAAACATTAGTTTTAATAGATACTAGATTTTGACCCGCGCTTCAAAAGCGCGGGTTTTTGTTAGATTATAAACAAATTTTGATATGATATAGTATTTTAGAAATGATGTACATTATTAGGCTACAAATCTTAATATATAAAATACATTTTTTGAAAAATTATGTAATTTATAAATTAGTTTATTTGAGATTTTATATGTAAGTTTTTAATGTAACTCTCTCTAGGTCTTGACATTTTATCTGGATCGAAAAACACGACCAAACCAACCCGAAAATATAGGTTCGGCTAGGATCCATGATAAAGTACTTACTGGCTATCTTTAAAGACCCGCATGAATCGATTCTAGTATGGATCATAACCGAGACCCGATCGGGTACATAAAAGCACTCAATATTTTTTTATATGTTTGGATATTTCATATATGTTTTTGGTATTATGTATATTCTTTTAAGTTTTAGTTACAGTTTTAGGTTTCGGGTTCTAATATATATATATATATTTTTTTTTTTTGTTTTGGATATTCAAATCAAATTTTTGGGTATATTTTGTTTTTCGAGTCAAATTAGGTAAAATTCAAGGTTTTCAGATATTTGAATATATTTTGAGTATTTATTTATGGTTTGAAGTATTTTTCAAATATTTTTCGGGTTTATTGGTATTTTGAGTCCTAACTATCCAAGCCTACCCGCTACATATCNAATCAGTCACGTATTATGAAATTATATGGTATAAGGTTATAATAATGTATTGTGGAGAAATAAAAATATTGACCGATAAGAGTAATATATAATAAATAAGAATATTGACTAATTTATTGTTAGAGAAATATAAGGTAAGTTATATGATATAATGTTATTGTACAATATTGTTAGAGAAATATAAGGAAAGATAAAAAAATATGTTAGTATAATGAAAGGGTCCAAACAACTTTTTTAAGTAGATTTATTTAGACTCCTTCTCTTTTAATAGTATAGATACAACCAAACACTCGATTCAAAATACCAAAACCTAAAAAAATAGGGGAAATTGTTTTTTTAAGACCAAAACCATTAGGATATTGTCCTTTTATGCTAAAATTATATTTTGTACTAAAAATCAATTAAAACCTAAATAAAATAAAAAATATTTATAATTAGACTTAAAAATTATTCAACAAATTATAGAATCACAAGTGTCAACTTTTACCTTCCATAGAGAAAAAAATGTCTACTTTATTAATAAAGATTTGTTTTTATTAAGTAAAATAAAATTTACTTTGAAACCATCTTAAGGTTCTTCAACTAAAGATCATTTTGTGGAAGCATAGTTTAACGTTTTGATGTCTACAAAGAAAGAGGCATAAAATTACATTAGTTTAGTAAAATACATAAACATCATTTTCGAAATCTGATAAAAGAAACTTCTCATTTTCAAAATCTGATAAAAGAAACTTCTCTAATTAATACAGAAATTTATATATAGCAGATGGAGACGTATAAAACGTATGTAAAAACGAAAAGGTCCTACAAATAGAATCAATCTCTAGACAAAACGCAACTAAGCTTAGGTTTCTTTCTCTACAAGAAATATACAAATGTCATTAACCGTCATAAACATAAGCAAGAAACAAGACATGTAGTATTGTATGTATCTCTCCCAATAGGGTCATCAAATCAAATTGATCAAAAGCTTAAGAACGAAGAAAAAGTAGAGTTAGCTGAGTAAAGAAAACAGAGAGATGATGAGTACGCATAAATCATGAATCGATGGAAGAATTTTTTTTTTTTCACATGGTACCAGCTCTTCCGGATGTCGGTTTTGTACTAGGCTTGAATTTGGAGATGTCAACGAGATCCCCAAATAGCTTATCCTCTGGTTTATTCTTCGGTTTCATAGGAGGCAGATAAGACGATGATGATGGTGGTGCCTGATGCGAAGCCTGGTCTCTGATGGACATGCCATGCATTTGCTGCTCCAGATATGGGCTGCTTCCTTGTTGCTGCTGTTGATTATAGCCATATCCATATCCTCCTCCCATCTGGTTTCCATAAGCCTGTTGTTGTTGCTGTTGGGCGTAGTACTGAGCCATCATCATCTGCTGTTGTTGTTGTTGTTGTTGATGGGGTGGATAGCCTTGTCCTAGAGCTTGATTAGCTTGGTTTGGCATTGGTTGTTGCATATACATACCGCTACCGGTTTGCGGCATTTGAGGGTATGGACTGTTGTTGTTAACCGTTTGGTTGGTTTGGGGCATCTGAGGATATTGTGTGAAGGCAACTTGTGTCTGATGCATTTGAGGAGAAAACGGACTTCCTGACTCTGCAGTGGGACTGAAGTCTTGGTGCTGAGCTTCCCATGGGGGAGGTGGAAATGCCATACTGTCTTCCGCACCTTCTTCACATCACAAAGTTACCACAAACAGAACAAATTAGGTATATACTTGAGAAACACTTACAGCTAATCTCTAAATGTTTTCTCGTTTTTATGTCTCAAAAGTTAAGATTTGTGATTTAAACTAAGATTTATTACCATAAGACGGCTGCTGTGGTTGTTGCAACTGCTGTGCAGGCTGACTATTCCACGGAGAAGAGTCCCTTTGCCCATATGATGGCTGCTCAAACTGAGAATAACCACCCTGAGGGGCAAACCCATTGGATTGTTGTAATCTAGCTTCTCCACCTTGACTAGTCGGTAGCTGGTTCGGATTCAAAGGGCTACTCTGGGTAGCTGAATTGCCAGTTGGTGCCGTTGCAGGACTTTGACTATTGGTATTGTCTCCGAACATATCGATAATGGCTAGTGCATTTTGATCTGATGCGACCGGACTTGCTGGTTGTGGAGGTCCAACAGGAACAAGGGCAAAATCATCGCCACTGAGTAGGTCTATTTTGGAATTGGCTGAACCATTAGCTACAGGTGGTGCAGGGAGGGCCAATTGATTTAGAACGCCGTTACCAGAGCTTGATGTAGCTCTGCAAAAATTGTTGGACATGGTAGAAATCAGAAGCTATTTAAATCAGACAAATAATCTTTTACCAGGTCACTTGGTCTGAAACCCCAGTTATTACTTGGTAAGAGACAAATCAACATGTATTATGATTATAAAGGTGCCTCTCATCTTCATCATTAACTTCTAGTTTTCGCATCCAGATTGTAATTATTTCTACGTGTAATGTAAGGGAGCCATATATAATAGAGCTTAAGCTAAGATTGGTAAACCGAGTCCAGAAGCAGGTGATATATCAAAAATACTTGGGTGCATGACTGTAATGTTTGTACTACATACCCGTTCGGCTGATTACTGCTGTCCCCAGTATCAATAAGTGGACCATCAACGTCTACAAGAGATTTTTCTGCCTCAGACTTAGGCTTCTCGATCTGAACAGAAGTTCCAGGAATTCCAGAAGCCATTGCTTCATAACTGGTTAAGACCCGCTGCAGATCATCATTCAACGCCAGACCTTGACATAACAGAGACTCGTCCCTGGATAGCAAAGTTGCGAGGTAAATAAGATTACAGATAAAGAAAACTATCTGTAATTAGCGGGGAGAAGAAAGAGCTCTTACGCAGATGAGTTGACTAGATGTACAACTCTTTGTTTGTATGTGCGACACTGCTCCACCAGATCGACCATCACCTCCTGTTTAAGGTCCTAAAGAAGTCCAAAAAGAGAAGGATGATCATCCTGATATAATTGCGTATACGATACAAAAATAATTAAATTCCACAATCGCAATTCCAAAATCTATCCCGAAAATAATCCTGTTCTTCTAGTATATTTTGCACCAAGTCAACACTTGCAAACAGGTAGAGGTAGCTATCTTTCTCTGCAGGTAATCGTGTTACCTCCTTGTTTCCCGGCTCTAATGCACTCAGCATTTCCGCAAGCACATCCATGATACCTTTTGCATTTTGAATCTCCGACAAACTGAAAAAGAATTTCGATATACAACAGAATAAATATTGAGAAGCACCACATACTGAGCAACAAAAGGCATGCAATTACGTCGTAAATAAAGAAGCAAACAGAAGCAAAGTTGACAACTGCAGACCCTAACGTACATTCCTGATAAGTAGAACGATAAAAAAAAAATTGAAGCTCCAGTACTGCACTAATGTTTTACAGAAACTATAGAGAAGCTACTTAAGTGTCGTTATTTTCTTGATTCTAGTCACATCTCAGCTTAAATTTACCCTATACCTAGGCTTACAACTACAGTTGCTTTCTGCTAATGCATTTCCGTAGAACAGATAGTATATCAAAAAAATAATTGCCAGATAACTCAAGGACGTTGACATTGCCCAACAAAATCTTCCATGCTTTTGTCAAAAATTCATCGACTTAAAACAGTGAAGTTAAATTTACCTCAGCGTCGGAAATTCTGGCTCTGCCGAAGGATCAGCCACATCATTACTAGGTCCAGCATTACGAAGATTTGGAGGGTAAGACGATAAAGGCTGTGTTTGTGGAGGTGTGAACACAGGTGCTGATCTCTCCGATCTCTGAGGGAAAACAGCGCCAGCACGCTGAAAGAGACAGGAATCAACAATGGTGATTAGGAAAGAGTGGTGGACCAATTTCTATCGGAACTCACAAAAGTATCTAAAAGAAAATTCATGCAAGTATGACACATATCTAAACTCAACTTCGGTGTGAAATGTTGACATCCATAATACTTTACTGAAGAAAATATTTTAAAATCTTTACGGTAGACCTACCAACAATTCCTGGTATCCTGCATAGTATTGTGGATATCTCGCCCTAGGGCCACCAAAGGCCTCTTGCCATGTATCGATAAGGACCAGGATCTTCTCTTTGACATGGATGTCCGGCTATAATATACACCAGTAGATACCTTAAATTAGATAGAGATATAGAGCTAACTTTTCCGAGAACACCAATTTCGAAGAAACCTTCACCTTTTTCTTAGCTATCCGAACCATCTCATGAATCACACCTTTCTCAGCCACATGCATATGAACCATGTCGCCACAGTTCTTCACTATCGTCTCAAGCAGCTAAAACATTGCAAACGCTTGATGAGTAAATATCCACACTATCATTGCAAAAAAAAAAAAAAAAAAAAAAAATTGATAATAATAATCTTGGAGGTAGCTCACAGTTAATGCAAGAAGTTGAGTTTTTGGATTCCTGCTACCAATCTTTTTTTTAACTCCTTTCACAACATCTTTCGCTTGCCTGCCAAAACAGTAACCAGTTTCAAACATTACATAGGATCAATCTCATTAGTTAAAAAAAAAAATCAACTATGTAACCCCTAAAATCAGTTTCTTCCAATCACAAAGGGAAGCAACTTCACAGATTTTACCAATAAATCCCTACAAAATCATGAAATTATTTATGTGTTCCAAAACTTCCAATAGCTACTACAAAAAAATTTCAATCAGAATTAGGAAATTCGATTCCCATCTTAGTGTCAACAATCACAAATTCAAATCAGAATCCTCGAGGCAAAAACATACGCGGGATCGGTATTGAGCATGTCACAGATCTCGAGGTTCATAGCCCAATCAGGACCGATCAACATCTCGCTCGTGGCTCTCTCCACCATAGCGTTCACCATCTTCTTAGCTTTTTTGACCTCAACAATAAAAACAGAACAAAAGCCTCCAAGGAGAAGAGAAGAGAGGAATTGAGAAGAGAATACTCCGGCGAAGAATCTCTCCCTCAGGAATTCACGCCCCTCTCTCCCTCCTTCTTTTTCTACTAGATTTGTTTTTTCTTTTTTCCTTTTTTTGTTGTTTCTCTATTTTTTGGGTCAGATTTCTCTGTTATTTAATTTTCATAATGTTTTGTTTTATATTTTTCTGTGTTCTTCAGTGGAAAAAAAATGCATTTCCACTGTTTGTTTACCTAAAACAGAAAATTTTAAAATAAAGAAAAAAATCTCAATAAAAATAGTTTTTATCTGTTTTACAGTTAAAATAACATTTCTCAATAGTGAAGAATATCTTACATATATTTTTATCTATTTTTGAACATTTTATTTTTTTTTAAAAAGGAATCATAATGATAATTTAGAGATTTTCTAAGGATTATACTATTTACTCTTACTCCAATGTGTTGACTTAATTTCTTTCGGTGGAAGGAAACCATTCTTAGGGGAAAATTGGATAACAGAATAAAAGAAGAGGGGTCTATCTGTAATTATTAACCGCATCGCTCTAAATACGCGCCTATTCACAGGTGGAGTTCGTTGCCTTTCAATTCTGAATGTTGTGTTTTCTATCATCTACGGTCTACTCGCTATATTTCTAGGCTCAAGCCTCCTGATACAGGAAAGCAGCTGTTCTGTGTCATTGTTTTGGTGTTACGAGATATCTTCATGGTGTTTGGTAATCTTGTATGTTGGAACTGCTTTCTTCCTCAGAAGAAGAGCTGCTTTTAAGTATTGACGAAGGAGAGTTTGGGAAGAGAAGTCATCAGGGATTAGAGTTGCTTGAAGCTAATCCATCTGAGTTCACACCAGATGTTGAAAGAAGAGTGAACGAGGGTTTTATCATCTGATGATGACGAAGACGAACCCGAGTTTTTAATAGGTGGGAAGTGTAACAGCTTAAACTTTTTCTAGCAGGCAAAGATCTTGATTCTTGAAAAGTAGAATATGGTATATGAATGTTGGTAACGAAAGGCAGATAGTTTAACTTGTAGAGATGGTTGCTTTAGAGATTAAGTTCCCCAAATTGTTGTCTATAGTTAGGTAAGTGATATGGCCAGAGATTTTCATTTCTCTCATAACAGCGTAGTAAGAGCCACAACTTCAAAATTTGACATGGTTGCAGACAAACTAGAATTCAAATTATATAGTTTATGGCACTTGTTCCATGGGAGATACAAGTCCCAAATTCTTAGCCACGGGGTAGATATTTTCTAATCATATTATACGAATTAGCCTTTTTATTTGTGCTTAATACATATTGATGAAGATTTATAAGTTAATTTCTTTAGAACAAAGTAACTTTTTTCGCTATTAATCAATGGTTTCATGTCCAGAGTTGAAAGATCTACACATTACAAGGAAAAAAATTAGATAGAGAAGGGATTTGAAAATAAAGACATACAAACATATATAGGATGATTAACAAATAATTGAAGGTGAGAATGAATGTCTATCAACAAAGGCAATTTTTTCTACCTGCAATTCTTGAGAAGGTAAGATGATGGGCTTGAGTAGCCGCCTGGAGAAGATGAAGATACCTTTGCTTTCCCAGGTGTCCCACAGTTACTGAAGTCCAAGGCTCGACCCTCCACCTGCATTTCCACACAGTATTAGTTCAGAGTAAGTCAACTTTTCAACTCAAAACTTCAAAGATCTCTGTACCAGTTCAAGATTCAGTTTTCAACATTAAGCTAAACCAAAATCAGATTCAGAGAAGGGAGTTGATAATGTTTTCTTGTAACTAGCCTACTGGTTAAGAAGTAAGTTATGTTGTGATAGTTGAAGCTGTTACCTGGGATCGGTTTTCCAGTTGATCATGAGGCCAGTGCTGATTTTCTTTCCCTTGAATAGATTTGTTCAACTGTCTCTTCTTGAGTATTGTTTCAGGTGTGTCATTACCCAAGACTTCCAAAGCATCTGCATATGCCGTAGCTGTGTGTTCACTCAAGTGCTTCATTAGTCCTATTGCATCATAACTCCTCTCTCCTGGACTCATAAAGCATCCAATATCCTGAGAATAAAAGTGAAACAACAAAGAATATTTGTCCATTAAAAGGCGATTCAGTCTATAACAAGAAGTAGAGTATCCAGAAATTAGTTTCATTCAAAGTTATTCCATCTCACTTTACCTCAAATGTAATTTCGGGAGGGAAATTTGGGCTTTGCAAGAAAGAACCAAAGAGTAACGGTGATTTCCATGGTGATGATTTCCATGGTGATGGGGTATCAATGAGTTTTTTGAATGGTGTTCCATCAAATCTGTGGAAAACGAGTGGAACCAAGACAACTTAGAATATATTACCCTTTCCAGCAAATAATATGTGATTCAGTAGAAAAATCAGGTATCAAAACACATACAGAGGAAAGGTGAAACTTACATGCTGAAGTTTTCAATATCAGCACTACTCTCTGCATTGTTAGTTTTATTTTCCGTGATTACTGATAAAGGAACATCGTCTGCGGTGAATGGAGGTTCTGACAAGATTTCTCCAGTTGGAATAGTAACTAATGACTTTTCTTGTTGATCCGATGGATCTTTCACAACTGTATTCACTGTGTTATCTGGCCTACATCCAGTTTTGTCAGGAGAACTTGGTTGCCTCTCAACATCATTATAATAAACCAAACTTCTACGAGTTTCTTGGTCCTGGTGCAGAGCAAAGCAACAGCTTTAGAGATTATAATATTGGAGAAAGACAGATTAGATTACTAGATGCAATGTTCTTGAACAAACTAGACTGACACGTTCCAACAAGAACCGATTTCAATTAATTAGATTGATGTGTATACCAGAAAGTGCACGTTAAATGATGTAGAGTAAAACGACGAACTTACAATTTTAGCTGAAGACACTCCTCCTGACTCCAAGGTTTCCTTTGGATCCTCTTTGGCTTCGGAAGAGGAGGCACATTTATCTTTCTTGTCAGGACATTCTGACAGACGAGAGGAATCACAATCATTTCCATCATCTAATCGTGAAAAATCTAAGGCCAAGGAGGAAGCCTTAGCACTTTTCACCATTTTTTCTTTCCTCAGCATAGGTGACAGCAAGTCCCTATGCCGCTTCTTTAAGATGGATGGTGCAGCACTGAAACTTTTGGCAGCATCTTTAAGCATGACATCAGGGCTCGGTGAATCCCATAACCTTAACGGAGTTGTTGTACAATTCATCAACTGGCGGATGCCAAAGGGACTGTACTCTTGCCGTAAGTCACTATTTGATGGTACAAGATCACAGCTGAAGAAAGGAATGTCTGCACTCGGAAAACGTGGAGGTTCATAACAAAGAGATCCTTTGTCTTTCTCAGCTTGCTTGTCGTCAATAGGGAAATAAATCTTATTCACTCTAGAAGGAGAAGAAAAATTATCCAGAGGTACTAGCTTCAAAGAATCATTGGTAATATATGACAGCTCTCGCTGTTCAGGGATGCCATCACTATCATCATTGCCATGAGAAGTTACATGCCCATCATTTGTATCAGTTTCACGTTCTAATGCAGTAGCTTCAAGGAGATCACAACCTTGAATAGAATTATTATGGAGTAAAACTGAGTCCTTCCCAGCTGAATATAACAAAGGAACACCATTATGATCCGCCAGGCCCTCAGAATATGAATGGTGCAAGGATAAAGCTGGAATGTTTCCAGATTCATGAGCATAGGTTTCTTCTTTTCCCTTTTGAGAGTCAGCCATGTTCTGACCTTGCTCACCAGAAGATGTACCGCTATCTTTCATGGTACATGGGAAAAGAACCCTACAGCACTCCACCTCCGTAGTCAAAGTTTGAGGTTGTGGATGAATACCTGTGTCCGAGTTTGGCAAAGAAGGTTGTTCATCTCTGTCCATGTTATGAGCCAATGACTGAGGACAGTCTAGATCAAGGTCCTGTTTTACATTGTGAGACCCTCCCTGCAAGTGATCCTCTGTAGCTGTGGTGGTTCTAACTTCACCTGAACAATTATGATTCTGATACTTCTTTGAGGATTCTGCTTCACAAGAAACTTTGGGGACAACAATTTTAACATCATCAAAGGAAGGACAGTAAGATTCTGCATGAGATGGAGAGTTTGAGATTTGCTGCTCCGTTCCTGAAAGCAATTCCGGAATGTAGAATTCTTCATTTGCAGGTTTAACCTCATCTAATAAATCATTGGCCGATTGTGAACAGCTGAAAACAGTTGAAGCTTGACTGCATTCTGATTCTTCAGCATCAGCTCCTTGCCTGAAATTACTTTCATCCCCACTGCTGTGCATCAACGAGGAAGATGAAGCTATGGATCTGTTCTGAAGGGCAACTAGTGGCGAGTTTTGACACTGGTCTAAAAGACCTGATGCGTAGTAGGAATCCAACTTCTTCTTAACAGAACTGTTCCACTGATTTTTTATTGCATTGTCTGACCTATGGAAACCATAAGAAAATAGCCAAAGAAGGAAGAATAGACCACCAAGTTTTTAGGACACAGGTTACAAAGATTATCTCATACTAGGACACATGGAAAAGACATTATTTACCTTCCTGGCAAAAACTTCATAAGCTCTGCCCATTTATTCCCATAAATTTGATGTGCACGAATAAGAGTCAGTTCCTCTTCCTGGGTCCATGCATTTTTATTAATGCCAGGGTTAAGATGGTTATGCCACCTACATCAGCCACAATATATGCTCATGTGTATCCAATCACAATCTAAAGACAGAAGTGTAGTTTTAAATGTCATTCATTGGCAAAAGAAGTAGAGATTATGAGCATACCTTTCCCTACATTGTTTTCCTATGCGCCCAGGTAAATGCTGAGAAATAGTAGACCATTTCGTTGGCCCATATTTTTCCACCAGAGCAATTATTGTGTTATCCTCCTTTGAATATATGGAAAAATAAGATGTTATGAAACATATTACAGATGTTAATAATGAAAGGACCACCACGCAGACAAATGTTGAGTAAAGTGTAAAACGCAATTTCAACACATACCTCTTTGGACCATGGCCCTTTGACAAGCTCTGGGTTCAAGACCTTTTGCCATCTATGAAGACACTGGACATCAGTTCGATCCTTAACGCATTCAGCTGAAAAAGGTGAAACAAATAAAATCACACATTGTTTTCACCATCTTCATCAAAGAATACAAATAAATAAGGAATCAGAAATTGCTACTTGACTTTACCTATCTTCTTCCAGTTCTTTCCTTGAAAACGCTCCACAGCTTTGCACAAGACTTCGTCCTGATCCAGGAAAACGGAATTAATCCAACATGAAAGTTCATAGAAAAAACAATGTTCAGTACATACAAAGGATAGCTACTGCCAAATAGTTAAATCGAATTGTACAAGAATCAAATGAAATAAAGAATGCAAGAATCAGAGAGATTCACAGGAACTCACCTCTTCTGGAGTCCATTGTCCTTTGGTGGATCGTCTTGCAGGGCCACTAATCCTCCTAAGAAAGTGTTCAACACATCACAAAGAGCTAGGCGACATTAACCTGAGAATCTCTTGTTGAATGCAATACATGGTGCTAATATAAAGTGAGAGCAGAAGCGTACCCATGTTTCCCTTGCAGTTTTCCTTGGAAACCATCTTCTGTAACATTGGGGGCTTTCATCTCAGGCTTCATACTTAGCAAGAGAAGCAACAATACAATATACCCCAAAGCCAGTTTCTTTTGTGTCCCTTTACATATATCCTAGTACGCTTAGCACAATGCCCACATAGCCTGATACAAAAAATAACCATAAAACAATCATCATGAGCTTACAGATACAGTACTCAGGTGATGAGACTAAGTCCAATTAAAAAATTTAAGGATAATAAGAACCCAAAATAAACAAATAAAAAAAAAGCTTCAAACTTTTTCTAAACAAAATCTGGCTACAATCAAAATGGCAGTGTGCTTTTTAGTAGATTTTGATCTTTAATTCAAAAACTCAAAGATTCAAAGAGTAAAAATTTGATCTTTGATTTCATATCTCAAAGCTTCAAAAAGTAAATTTTGATATTTGATTTAAAGCTCAAAGCTTTAAAGAGTAAAATTTTGATCGTTGATTCAAAAAATCAGGAAGAAGTCTGAGTGTGTGACCTTAAATCCAAGAATTACAGGGAACGTAGGGAGGAAGCAACAAGACTCAACAGTAGCAGCAGATCCACTAAATCCAGAAGTGACGATGAAATGAAAATAAAGAGGAGAGAGAGAGAGAGAGAGAGAGATGGTGAGGTATTCAAACATGGAGAGGCGGAATTCAAAGTTTTGAGATCAAATCAAAAGACGATCTGAGCCGTTCATTTTCAAGCTCTGAATCTAAAGTCTCCATTAAAGTTCCACGCCTATATTTTTAATTTTATTTATTTGTTTGCAAAACGTTTTCTTAATTTCTTTCTGTTTTGGGAGATTCTGCTTCATCTTACTCTTCTTGACTCAAATAGCATCATTATACATTCATTAGCTAGCATATATACATTTTCAATTCAATAATAACTGAAACGCAATTAATTTTCTAATAATTTAGGTGAGATCACATTTTTTTCTTTAAGATTTTTATAAAACAGAGAAGAAACTCTTCTTCCTCCTCTCATTTCAAATTGAAAACAAATCTGCATTTAACCCCTACAAAAAACCATGTGGACAAAGTCAAACGAAAGGACCACAACAAACTATTTTAAAATAACGCTTTTTAACTTTTCAAAACGAAGGTTTGACAACAATTTCTAATAAGATTTGTATTTAGATACTGGAATAAACTACTGTAGTTAGTACTGTATTAGTTTCGGATTCTCACTTAATTAATCAAAGTTTTCCCCATTAAGATGGATCTATAATAAGAAAGACACAAGCAAGGAATAAAATTCATACAAAAGGGCAAAATAACTGCTAAATACTTTCCAAAAATAGGTAATAAAACCAGATATGATCTTAGCATTTTTTTTGCCCAGTGGCAGCTACTACAAAACTTGCTTGCTGATTTATAGTTAATAGCATCACAACACGTCACAAGTAGATAATAAAGGTTTAGACTGTGAGGTTAAAGTCACAGCTGAGAAATATATTAGAAGCACAAGCAACAAGTCACGAGCTATAAAGAAACACGATGGTGTCTTCATCATGCTTCCACCTTCTGAGATTTGTTCCAGCGACCACCAGGGGAATCAGATCCCCTCTTTCTCCCGAATCTCCCTCCTCCTCGTTTTCCTCCCCTGCATAGACCACAACACGAAATTTCTCAGACCAGAACCAAACCAAACGACCACAAGCTTCTAACATTAATACCAAACTAAACTTAACCTCATATTCAGAGAGAGGTTATAGTTTGGACTTAGTCTTCACGGAACCGATCCTAATACATTCAAATACCAAAACATGTACTCACCTTCCTCCACGACCACCCTTGTCAAACCTGTCTTTGCTCCTAAGGAGTCCCCAGTACTCCTTTTCAGCTTCGCCTGAGACCACCAGTATATACACCCATTTAACTCAAGCAGAACAAGTATAGTTAAAGATAAAGATGGAAGTTAAAAAGGTGTTTTTACCAGTAAGAGGTTCTAGGACTGCAATAAAGTTCTTCACGGTTAGTCCACCTTCTTTGGCTAATACTGCTGCGGCACGAGCTTTCTGTGATGCTTCTGGTTCATCAAACCTTAGGTAACCCGTTTCAGCTCCCATTTTGAAATCCACAAACTTCACAGTGAAAAAAACAACAAACTATGAGGGATAAAACTACAAAACAAAATAGGATGAGAAGATGCTAGGATGTTAAGTACCTTGACTTCACCGAATTTTCCAAACACGGCCTTAAGATCTTCACGCAAGACAACATCTTTGTTATCCTTATGGGTAGCTAGAGCACCACCCTTTTCTTCATTCTCTCCGTTTTTAGCTGGAGAATCAGAAGACTCATCATCATCTTCCCCCTCTGTTCCTTGTCCCTGTGCCTGATCAGTGTTTTCTTTATCCTCAGCAGGATTATCTTCTGCCTTTGATTCGCTTTCATCCATTTTCTTATCGGCTGACTCCTCAGAACTCTTTTCTGTAGCACCTCCTTCAGCTGAGCGCTTTAGAGTGAATGAAATAATCAAACCCTTGGGATAGCTACAATATTACAAAACAACCAAAGTCAGTCCAAGAACATTATACAAAAGACAAGAAAATTAATAGCAACATACTTTGCCTCGGATTCAGAACCGTTCCTGTGGTCAGAGCCGTTCTTCTGATTTGCAGAAGCCTTTTGAGGACGGTAGTTAGCAAACTTTTCTTCATCTTTCTCCCTTTCTTCATCAAACTCTTTCCTGAAAAGAAAAAATCTATATTAGTAAAAGCATCCTGAAAGAAAACCTCAGGAGATGAGAAAGAGACAGTAAACAGAACATGCTTTCATGCCCAAGTAGGATTACTTTGGTTTCATCTCCAAGTCGAGACCAGCAAAGACCAAGTTTTGCTTCATAACATTTTGGGCCTCCTCTTCTGTAGGGAACTCAACCAAGGCAACACCACAAAACAATCTCGACTCTGCTACATGACGAGGCAACCTCACACTATTAACCTGAAAAGAAAACACATACCTATAACGCTTGTATAACCACCTAATCTAGCTATTTCTTATTTTCTCTAGATTTGAAAAACGACGAAACAGTTATAGTTATAGATCAATCAATAGAGGAATTACCTTTCCATACTGACTGAAAAAGGCTTCAACGTCTTCCCTTTTAACATCATAAGCGAATGGAGAAACAGCAACAGTTCTAGCATTAAGTTGTTCAATCAAATCTTCAAGCTTCAACAACTCTGTACTCCTACCAACCTTTTTCCCTGTGTAAATCAAATCCAAAAGTGATCAATAAACTTTATAAGATATTTCTCCAAACTAATCACAGTTATGTTAAGAAAGCTCGTGAATTTGAATACACAAAAGACAGGTATCAGTGTAGAAACTCACCATCTTCAGAAACCTTGAGAGCAGAAGAGGTACGAAGAGTATCAGCAACAGCTTTGATGGTATCTTCAGGAACCTCATCTCCTTTGGAATCACCCAACTTCAAATACCCTCTCATCTTACTGAAGGAACATATCAGCCCCAAACTAACCACTATTCACCAAAAAAAAAAAAACATCAACACTTAAACCAATAACAAAACAAAACAAAAATAAAGAGACTTTAATAAAACTTACATCCATCATCACTCTCTCTAACAGTCTTCTTGAGGAAATCATCAATTGGAAGATTACTATCACTGAAGTAAAACTCCACCTAAAACAAATCAATACCAAACACAATCAAAAACATAACTGAAAAACACAAAAACAGTCATAGAGAATACGAAGAGATTCAGACCTGGCGTAGAACTGTTTTAGCCGTCTCTTCGGTTAGGCAAGGAATCGACATTCTTTTTTGCTCACTGATGTTCGAAAGAGAGAGAGGCAGAGAGAAGAGAAGAGAGGGGTTACTAGGGTTTAGAGACAGCTTCGTCTGAGTTTTGAGTCTATTTGCCAATATAATTATTTTCTTTCTTTTTCCTCCATTGAGCCCTCTATTTTCAACTTTATATTGCGTAATACCCAGTAATTTACTATAGTATCTAATTTACCCCCACTATGATTCACAAGTGGAAATTTAACCCTAGATTAATCACATAACATGCAGGCAATTGTTTTTTTTACTAATTTAATATTTTTATCATACGTTATATAAGAGCGCTAGAAATTAAAAAAATTTCAGTGATCAGTTGGACCAATTAAAATAATATAATTTTATTAAATATATTTAACCACACAATGAAAACAGATAATTCTATCTTTAGAAGAAAGATCTACTTTGTGAAAGTCAAGCTGTCAAACTAACTAATTCCACGGGATCAATTTTTATTTTTAGTAAATTACTATCATGCATGCAGTTCTTTTTCCATGTTTAATCATTATTATACAATAAAAATACTATAAATTAATAAGAACTAATAATTAATTAGATGATTCAAAATATAAGATAATAAAATAAAATAAAATAAAGATATGTTCATCTAAATTACACATAATAGTAAAATTAATAATTAGTATATTTAAAGTTTATATGGTAGTTTCTATAAGAAAAAATTTGTTACAAATTATTATTTTTTCTGTTTTCAATAAAATAACTAACTCTTTTACTATCACATTTTATTATTTTACTTCTAGTTAAAAAAATTATTTGAACTGCAAACTAGTTTTAAATTTTGATGCTATTTAAAAAATCATAAATTAATAATCCTGATTTTTTAGTATTATAGTTCTAACATTATTAGTGTATAGAGTACCAACTGTACAAACATCTTGTGGCAAAAATTAAAATCTCGAATTCTACAAAATCTGGAAAATAGATTGATTGAGAAACTCATACTAGTTATAAAATATCGATGTCAAAAAAAAAAGTTATAAAATATCAACTCATGACTTTATTACAGAAGAAAGATTGCTGGTGACTACGTGTACAAACAAAAAGATTGGTGACTAACTCTCACAACTTCTATTTTGTTATTAGTAAAAGGAGATGTTATTTAACGAGGTGGAAGTACGTCGCTGCATAGTTCCTCACATCGGCAATAACGCTTGATCTTATCTAACATAAAGAGATTATCACATGTGCAGTTAAAATAATTACTCTTGTAAGTTGTCGACATATACTTCGCACACACATTCACCCCATCATCTTTGCAGTTTCCTTCGATATCTTCTCGTCTTGGACAAATCTTACCTGGATCAACTTCAATCAGAAAAAAAAAAACTTATCTGTATCAATCTCTTCAACAATTTTATATCAAAAAATGTTTGTTAGCTTAGTTTGTTATTTCTCACCAGAAAAAACTTATACACAAAAAAAGAGTTAACTGGTGGTTGAATATATCTAGATGAAAAAAATTGCAGCGCAACATTTGCGACTTGTGACAAAAACATTATCAAAAAGAAATGATTAGAGTATACCTTCAGGTTCTTTACCATCACTCATCACTAGAAAAATGAGAACACAAAAAGCTGTACACCAAGTAGCAGATCTCATGGTTAAAGATAAAAATGGTGATAAACAATCTTTTACTTGCAGCAGCAGAATACTATAATTTTTTTGTTTTCTCTCGTGATAAATATATTTAAACACACGTTAAAAATAGATAATTCTATCTTTAGAAACATATACTTTGTAAAACAACGTGCCAAATTAACTCCACGAGATATGTTAATTCTTATTTAGCGATTGTCATAAAAATAATTTGTTACAATTTATTATATTTTCAATTTCCAATAGAGATTAATTAAAATATTGTTATTACATTTTAATTATTTTATTATTAGTTTAAATTCTATTCGTACTGACAAACTAATTTCGAATGTTGATGCTATTTAAATAAACATAAATTAATAATTCTATGGTTGTTTAAAATATAATTATACTCCCTTAAAATTATTAATTTGCAGAGTATTAACAGTACAAACATCTTGTGACAAAATTTAAAATCTGGATTTCTAAATTGGAAAATAGATTGATTGAGAAACTCATACTAGTTATAAAATATCAACTCATATTTTTATTTCAAAAGAAAGATTGGTGACTAACAAAACTCATTTTGTGTGTGATCTCCACACTACAAAGTCTCACAACTAGATTGATTGAGATATTATTTAAAGAGGCGGCATCGGTGAAGGTGGAGGGTGGTCTGTACACAATGACTGACATCGGCAATAACGCTTGGTCTTGCGTAACAAGAAGACGTTGTCACATGTGCAATCAAAATAATTAATCTTATAAGTTGAAGTCATAAACTTCGCACACACTTTCAGTCCATCATCTTTGCAGTTTCCTTCGATATCTTCCATTCTTGGACAAAATCTCACTTCCCAAAATTTTATATCAACCAAAAAAAAAGATTAACTGGTGGTTAAAAATCTAGATAAAAAAAATTGCAGTGCAACATTTGCGACTTGTGACAAAAACATTAGCGAAAGGATATGAATATAGTGTACCTTTATCTTTTTTACCATCACTAATTACGAAAAAGATGAGAACACCAAAAACTATACACCAAGTAGCAGATCTCATGGTTAAAGAATAAAGATACAAATAGTGATTTGTTCTCTCTTGTGAAAAATATTTGTTTTCTACATAAACACACACGTAGTAAATATACTTAAATACACACACTAAAAATAGATAATGCTATCTTTAGAAAACATACACTTTGTAACATTCAATATGTAGAGTTAACTAATTCCACGGGATCCATTTTTATTTTCAGTAGTTTGTTTCTTGAAAAATTCATTTGTTTATTATTTCGCAACATTGTGTCTCTGATGTACCGTTGTCAATACATTTAAGAAAATAACTGAACATCGTTTTATATCCCTTTTGTCAATAAAAGATGATCAAAAAGAATGATGAGGTGTTTGCAAGGAGTGTGACTCATTGTTCAAAAAACATATAATCAAGATTACAACATATTTATAGTTAAACACACATCTGGAATACTATAACTTGTGTATTTTCTCTTGTGATAAGTATACTTAAAACACACATTAAAAATAGATAATTCTATCTTCAGAAACATATATTTTGTAAATTCAACTTGCCGAGTTAACTAATTCTACGGGATTAATTTTTGTTTTTAACAACTGAAATCTATTTATTAAATAAATTGTAATCAAATTACATAAAATACATATACAACTAAGAAAAACAACAAATAAAAATTCTTAACATGCATGTAATTCGTTTTCCATGTTTAAGCATCATTATACATTATTTTTTATAAATGAAAAAGTAATAATGAATTAGTCAGATTCAAAATATAATATACTTTAATAAAGTAATAAAACTTTAGTTATGTTGTAAAAATAATTAGTATATGTTAGTTCTTATTCGGTAATTTTAATAAAAATAACTCGCTACAATTTCTTATATTTTTAACTTCCAATAAAAAATAATTAAAATTATGTTATTATATTTTAATTATTAGTTCAAATTTGTATCCATACTAACAAACTAATTTCCAATTTTTGATGCTATTTAAATAAACACAAATTAATAATTCTACAATTTTTAAAAATATAATCATACTTCTTAAATTATTAATTTGTAGAGTATTAGCACTACAAACACCTTGTGACAAAATTTAAAATCTGGATTTCTGAAAATTTGGAAAATAGATTAATCGACTGAGAAGCTCATACTAGTTATAAAATACCAACTCATGACTTTATTACAAAAGAAAGGCTGGTGGCTAACAAAACTCTTTTGTGTGTGATTTCCACACTACAAAGTCTCACAACTTCATCACTTTTATTATTAGGAAGGACTATTGAGATGTTATTTAAAGAGGCGCATCGGTGGAGGTGGAGGTGGAGGGTGGTCTGAACACAGTTGCAGACATTCGCAAAAACGCTTGGTATGGCGTAACATGACGATGTTGTCACATGTGCAATTAAAAGCATTAATCTTATAAGTGTTCGTCATGTACTTCGCACACACTTTCGGTCCATCATCTTTGCAGTTTCCTGCGATATCTTCTATTCTTGGACAATATTCCTGTGGTTCATCCTCTTCCAAAAGTTTATATCAACAACCAACATAAAAAAAGAATGTTAACTGGTGGTTAAAATTATCTAGATGAAAAAATTGTAGTGCAAACAATAAAAAAACATTATCGAAAGGATGTGAATATAGTATACCTTTATCTTTTTTACCATCACTAGTGACGAGGAAGATGAGAACACAAAAAATTATACACCAGATAGCAGATCTCATAAAGAATAAAGATAGAAATTGTGATAAATAATATTTTACTTGCAGAATACTATAACTTGTTTGTCTCTTGTGACAAGTATTTGTTTTCTACGTAAACACACTCGGAATAAATATACTTAAAACACGCACTAAAAATAGATAATGCTATCTTTAGAAAAATACATTTTGTAACATTCAACATGTAGAGTTAACTAATTCCACGAGATCAGTTTTTATTTCGGTAAGTTGTTTCTTGAAATATTCAATTGTTTATTTTTTTCACATTGTTTCTCTGATGTACAATACGTTTAAGAAAATAGTTGAACATCGTTTTATATCCCTTTTGTCAATAAAAGATGATCAAAAAGAATGATGAGGTGTTTGCAAAGCGTGTAAATCACGCCAAAAAGCTCCATAGTTGTGGACCTTGTGGTGTAACTTATTACCCTTTAGGACCTGTATGCTCGACTGAGAATGATTGATTCCATACTCTAACTATCGCTTGAATCAGTGTTGAATCTGCTCTTACTTGTTCCATACGGTAGAGAGTTGTCATTAGGGTTTTCAGAAGAGTCATATGTCTCCTTACCTTTCTTAAGAAAGAGTAAGTATCATACAAATTCACTATCTAAAATCACTTTCTGTTTCTCTTACTTTTTCTTCCTATCTCTCTATACAAAATTATCTTTTTGTCTTTTAGATTATTACATAAATAAACCCCTAATGATTTTATATCAACCACACATGTAAAAATAGATTGTTAACATTCTTTAAACTAATATTGATAAGTAAAGTATCTCTCTCAACGAGAATTAAATTAAGAATCTAATTAGGAGCACAATAGAACTAACCCCAAACATTAAAACACTAATCCAACGCACAGTTGGTAGAAAGAAAGTTAACAATTGGTTAAAATATCTAGAGTAAAATATTGCAGTTGCGACTTGTGACAAAAACATTATCAAAAGGAAATGATTATAACCTTTAGGTTCTTTACGATCAATCACGAGAAGCTGAGAACACAAAAAAAACTATATATACGCCAAGTAGCAGATTTTATGGTTAAAGATAGAAATGGTGATAAACATTTTTTTGCTTTGCAGCGGTAGAATACTATAACTTGTGTGTTTTCTCTCGTGATAAATATATTTACACATACATTATAAATAGATAATTATATTTTTAAGAACATATACTTTGTAAAATTCAACGTGCCGAGTTAACTAATTCGACGGGATCAAATTTATTTTTTAACAACTGAAATCTATTTTAAATTAAGTTGTGAACAAATTACATTTACAACAATGAAAAATAATAAATAAAATTCTTAACATGCATGCAATTCGTTTTCCATGTTTAAGCATTATTATACATTGTTTTTATAAATGAAAATATTAATAGCAATGAATTAGTCTGATTCAAAATATAAAATAATTAAATAATAATGAATTATTTAGTAGATTTTAATTCTTATTCTGTGATTTTTATAAAAATAACTTGTTACAATTTATTATATTTTCAGTTTCCAATAAAATGAATTAATTTTTATTTTTAAAGATATTTTATTATTAGTTTAAAGGACCTTTTATAAATAGGACTCAAAATTTAAAATCAACACAAATCTAGAAATAGACATTTCTTTTATTACTTGTTCGATTTGGGTTTAGACATATATTTTGGTTCGGTTTGAGTTTAGATGATCCAAACTGAACCAAAGTATATGTGTTAACCATACTAACAAACTAATTTCTAATTTTCGATGCTATTTAAATAAACATAAATTAATAATTTTACAGTTTTTAAAAATATAACTTTACTTCTTTAAATTATTAATTTGTAGAGTATAAACAGTACAAACATCGTTGTGACAAGTTTAAAATCTGGATTTCTAAAAACTTTGGTAAATAGATTGATTGAGAAACTCATACTCCTAGTTATAAAATCAGCTCGTGTCTTTATTACAAAAGAAAGATTGGTGACTAACAACACTCGCTTGTGTGTGATTTCCTCAATACAAAAGTAAAGTCTCACAACTTCATTTTTATCATTAGGAAAGACTATTGAGATGTTATCTAAAGAGGCGGCATCGGTGGCAGCGGTGCAGGTGGAGGGTGGTCTGAACACAGTGACTTACATTCGCAAAAACGCTTGGTATAGCGCATCATGACGATGTTGTCACATGTGCAATTAAAGTAATTAATTTTATAAGTGTTCGTCATATACTTCGCACACACTTTCGGTCCATCATCTTTGCAGTTTCCTGCGATATTTTCTATTCTTGAACAATATTTCTGTGGTTCATCCTCTTCCAGAAATTTTATCAACCACACACAAAAAAGAAGAAGAATGTTAATTGGTGGTTAAAAATATCTAGATTAAAAAAAAAGTTCCAGTGTAACATTTGCGACTTGTGACAAAAACATTATCGAAAGGATGTGAATATAGTATACCTTTATCTTTTTTACCATCACTAATTACGAAGAAGATAAAAACACCAAAAACTATACACCAAATAGCAGATCTCATAGTTAAAGAATAAAGATAGAAATAGTGATAAACAGTCTTTTACTCGTAGAATAATATAACTTGTTTCTCTCTTGTGACAAGTATTAATTTGTTTTCTACGTAAACACACCGTAATACATATACTTAAAACACACACTAAAAATAGATAATGCCAACTTTAGAAAACATACACTTTGTACTATTCAACATGTAGAGTTAACTAATTCCACGGGCTCAATTTTTATTTAGGAAATTTCATCTTGAAATATTCAATTGATTATTTTTCAGATTGTTTCTGTAATCATTGAACATCGTTTTATACCCCTTTTGTCAATAAAGGATAATCAAAAAGAAAGATGTGGTGTTTGCAAAGAGTGTGACTTACACATTGTTCAAGAAAACATATAATCAAGATTACAACATTTTTCTAGTTCACGGCAGGGGTAGACTCAACTAGAAAATTAACTGGGATCAAATAATTTTTTTTCTGGGTCTAATTGCTAAATTCAAATATAGAGGAGATTTAGAGAACCCATGTTGGTGGGGTCAATGCTGTTCCATTAAAATCACTGAACCATATATAATAAATTAGCAAAACTTGCTCACAAATGGTAATTTATATCATCTACTTGGTTCAGTTGAACCCACATTTCACTGATTGGGTCCGCCCTTGGTTCACGATGAAAGTTAGAACACAAGCGGTGTTCTTTGGAACCTTTCACCGATGTCAATCACATAGCTACAAATGAATGAAGTAGACTAATCATGCCAATAAGCTCTCCATAGTTGCGGTGACACTTACTAGTTACTACACTTTAGGACCTGTAAAGTGATGTTCACTGCTTGACTGAGAAGAATTGATTCCATACTCTGAAGTGGAACCATTGCTTGAATTCGTGTTGAATCTCCTCTTACTTGTTCCATACGGTAGAGAGTTCTCATTGGGGTTTTCAGAAGAGCACAGATTACCTATTCAAGTTTTAGGCTTGTTCAGTTTGGTGTATGCAAGCAGCAGCACAAGCAGTCATGTCTGCCATATGAGTTGTGTCATAGTTCTTCTCCAGTATAGGGTCTACAAGAAGGTCAAATCTTTCTCCAGAGATAGCTTTTGCAAGCAATGGCCTCGCCGATGAGATATCAAAATATTTACAATCTAATCAAAAAATCACAGGGCAACATTTGCGACTTGTGACAAAAACATTATCAAAAGAAAATGATTAGAGTATACCTTTAGGTCCTTTACCATCACTAATCACGACTTCACGAGAAAGATGAGAACACAAAAAAAACTCTATAGCATATCTCATGGTTAAAGATATAAATGGTGATAAACAATCTTTTACTTGCAGTAGCATAATACTATAATTTGTGTGTTTTCTCTTGTGATAAATATACCACATTAAAACATATAATTCTATCTTTGGAAACAGATACTTTGTAAATTTCAACGTGCCGAATTAACTAATTCCACGAGATCAAATTTTACTTTTAGTAAATTCTTAACATGCATGCAATTCATTTTCCATGTTTAAGCATCATTATACATTATATTTTTATAAATGAATAAAAATTAATTATGAATTATTCTGATTCAAAATATAAGATAAATTTAATAAAGTAATAATTTTTTTATTTATGTTGTACAAAATAATTCGTATATGTTAATTCTTATTTGGTGATTTTTATAAAAATAACTTGTTACAATTTATTATATATTCAATTTCCAATAAATATTAATTAATTTTTATTATATTTTAATTTTATTATTAGTTTAAGTTTGTATTCATACGAACAAACTAATTTCGAATATTTGATGCTATTTACATAAAAATAAATTAATAATTTCACAATTTAAAAAATATAATTATACTTCTTAAAATTATTAATTTGTAGACTATTAGCAGTACAAACATCTTGTGACAAAATTTAAAATCTGGATTTCTAAAAAATTGGAAAATTGATTGATTGAGAAACTTTATTGCAAAAGAAAGACTGGTGACTAACAAAACTTATTGCTAACAAAGAAAAAGACTAACAAAACTTATTAGTGTGTGATCTTCCACACTACAAAGTCTCACAACTTCACTTTAATTATTAGGAAGGACTATTGTGAGATGTTATTTAAAGAAGCGGCATCGGTGCAGGTGGAGGGTGGTCTTTACACAGTGACTGACATCGGCAAAAACGCTTGACCCTTTCTAACATGTAGATGTTGTCGCATGTGCAATTAAAATAATTAGACTTATAAGTTCTCGTCATATACTTCGCACACACATTCAGTCCATTATCTTTGCAGTTTCCTTCGATATCTTCTATTCTTGAACAATATTCTTCTGGTTCACCCTCTTCCAAAAATTTTATATCAAATCACACACAAAAAAAAAGAATGTTAACTGGTGGTTAAAAATATCTTGATAAAAAAAAATTCCAGTGTAACATTTGCGACTTATGACAAAAACATTTTCGAAAGGATGTGAATATCATATACCTTTATGTTTTCTACCATCACTAATTATGAAGAAGATGAGAACACCAAAAACTATACACCAGATAGCAGATCTCATAGAATAAAGATAGAAATGGTAATAAACAATCTTTTACTTGCAGAATATTATAACTTGTTTCTCTCTTGTGACAAGTATTTGTTTTCTACGAATACACACTTGTAATAAATATACTTAAAACACACACACTAAAAATAGATAATGCTATCTTTAGAGAACATACACTTTGTAACATTCAACATGTAGAGTTGTTAACTAATTCCACGGGATCCATTTTTTATTTTCAGTAAGTTGTTTTTTGAAATATTCAATTCTTTGTTTTTTAACATTGTTTCTGATGTACCACTGTTAATAATGTTTAAGACAATAATTGAACAATATTCGTTTATATCCTTTTTGTTAATAAAAGATGATGAAAAAGAATGATAAGGTGTTTGCAAAGAATGGGACTTACAAATTGTTCAACAAAACATATAATCAAAGATTACAACATATTAATTATAGTTCACAAGTGAAAGCTAGAACACAAGCAGTGATCTTTGGAAACCCTTCACTAATGTCAATCAAATAGTTACAAATGAATGAAGTAGAGACTAATCATGTCCATAGTTGTGGTGAAACTTATTACACTTTAGGACCTGTAAATTGATGTTGTTCACTGCTCGACTGAGAAGGATTGATTCCATACTCTGAAGTGGAACCATTGCTTGAATCAGTGTTGAACCTCCTCTTACTTGTTCCATACGGTAGAGAGTTGTCATTAGGGTTTTCAGAAGAGCTGTACGTCTCTTCCACGTTTCTTAAGGTCACCTCGCCTTCAAGAGCACGGATTACCTATTCAATTAGCCTTTGTTCAGTTTGGTTATAGGGACTTGTCACGTCCTCATGAATATGAGATTCAAGAGAGACAACAAACCTGGCTCATTCGAGGACGAAGCCAAGCTGATTGGCGTATGCAACCAGCAGCACAAGCAGCCATGTCTGCCATTTGAGTTGTATCGTAGTTCTTCTCCAGTCTCGGGTCTACAAGAGTGTCAAAACTCTCTCCGGAGATAGCTTTTGCAAGCAATGGCCTCGCCTGAGGAGATATCAAAAGTATTTACAATCTAACCAAGTTCAAGCTTGCAGTTATTAAAAAAATATTGGACTTACCCAGTCAACTAAACTCTGGTTTCTGGTAGGATCTTTAGCGAAGATTGGTGGACGTCCAGTGATGAGTTCTAGAAGCACGACACCAAAGGAATACACATCTGATTTATCAGTCACTTTACCACTAGACGCATATTCTGGAGCCATGTATCTGTTTTAAACGCAAGTAACACAAGACACTCTAGTCACTAATATATCTCTTCATAAAGGCTTAACGATACAAAGAATGAAGAAAGCTTGAAACGGTAAGAGTACTAGATAAAACAGGGAAGCTGTTTTACCCGAACGTTCCTACCACTCGAGTAGAGATATGAGTGACTGATGAATTGGTGTCTGAAAAGAACTTGGCTAGCCCAAAGTCAGAGACCTGAAACATGCAAAAGTAAAACAGACCCAAGAAACTCAAATGGTATAAACTCCAAGCTACATGATGTCGTTTTGTTAAATAGAACAACAAATCACCTTTGCCTCATATTTGGAATCTAGAAGTATATTAGCTGCTTTGATATCACGGTGAATTATAGTTGGACTGCCTGTAAATTCAACCACAAGAGAGAAATCAAAATCAATACAAGTATTTAAAAAAAAAAAACAGAAAAAAAACTCACAATCCTCATGAAGATAAGCTAATCCTTTAGCTGCTCCTACAGCAATCCTAAGCCTCAATCCCCACTCCAACACACTTCCTCTGTTCCCTACAACACATGTTCTCACAATATGTCTTCAAAAGTAACATAAACACATAAAAATAAAATCATATGATATGTGTTTAGTGTTTACCATGCAAGTGAAACTCCAACGTATCTTTAGGAACAAACTCATAAATCAACAGTCTTTTATCTCCGTTAATGCAATAACCAACCAACGAAACCAAGTGTTTATGATGAACTCTACTGATAGTGTCAACTTCAGCTTGAAACTCTCTTTCCCCTTGATTACTCCCAATCTTCAGCTGCTTCACCGCAACTTCTCTCCCGTTTCTCAGCACTCCTTTGTGAACGTAACCGAATCCTCCTTCTCCCAAGAGGTTAGCCTCTGAGAATCCACCCGTTGCCTCTAGTAGCTCTTCGTATGTGAACGTTCCTGATGACACTGTAACGTTCATTGTAACAGCATTGCTCTCCTTAGTGGTAGTACTATAGCTTGCGCTGGATGAATACTTTGGTGGTGGTATAGTGATAACATTCGTCTGGTCTGGTTCCACATTACCGCCTCGTTGATGTTGAACTGATCCAGTCAAGAAACATAAGCCTAAGTGTTAATATTTTTTTTGGTCAAAGTGTTAATATATACACTCTTTCTATTACAAAAAATGCAAGGCTTAATTTTTGCAGACATTAAAAAAAGTAAATTTTGATTATTAATATATTATTTTTTGTAATTAACTATTTTCCATTTCTAACTTTTAACAAATATCTCATAAAATTCCAACAAATACAATTACCTTTTAAAACTTTACAATTTACTATAATGCATTGAAAATATAAAAAAACTATATTTTTGAAACAAAATCATCTCTAAAACTTTTCGAAACAGAGTATGGTTTTATTTAACAATATGAGAGAAACGGTTCAATTTTTATGTATGATCATCACATTGTAACCATAAAGATTAAGTTTTTATTTTGTATCAGACGATAAAGTTTGAATTTTTATGGCGAATTTTATTACCTTTTGGTGGAGTTTTTGATTGTTGATGACGAGAGCTGTTGCTATTTCTGTTTCTGGTGGCTCTGTAGAAGACGAAGAGGAGGCCTAATAGAACAAGCAGAAGAGCTCCAACGATCACACCTCCGAATAAGAATCCGGCTGATGATCTGTGGTACGACGTCGTCTCGGGGAGACTCTTTGGTACCAGTGGCTGTGCTGTTCCCGGGGAGATTGATTGGCCTGGAGTTGTTTTGGGCTCTATAATGGGCCCATTAGGTGTTGATATAGTTCCGTCTGGTAGTGGGCCCATTGGGCCGAAAAAAGGAAGAGTTGTTGTTGCTGGCGAGTTCTTTGGCGCCGGAGTGGATGAAGATGGCAATGGTGGTGGTGAGAGTGGTGGTTTAGGTGGAGGGGAAGTTTCCGGGATAGATGGAGTAGTGGGAGGAGGAAGTGAAGGTTTAGGACCACGGCGGCGAGGAGGAGACGGCGGCGGTGGAGAAGCTGCTGTATTCACCGGCGGAGGTAATTCTGATGGTAGTGAAGGAGGCGGTGGAGAAGCTGTTTTTTCCGGCGGCGGCGGTGTCTCAGAGGGAAGTGGAGAAGGCGGCGGAGAAGGTTTGGCGGGAAGGAAGGGCAATGGCGGTGAGAGTGAGACGGAAGGAGTTGGAGGGGAAGGTGGGAGTTCCTCAGGAGGAGACGGTGGTGGTTCCTCCGGAGGAGACGGTGGGGGTTCTAAAGGAGGAGACGGTGGGGGTTCCACAGAAGGTGGTGGTGGGGAAGAGGTGGGAGGTAATATAGTTGGTGGTGGAGCCAAGGGAGGAGGAGATTCCAATGGCGGGGGAAGAGGAGAGAAAGGAGGAGCAGGAGGTGATGACGTGGCAGGAGGGGAATCTGCCGGAGCCGGCGAGGCAGAAGGAGAGAGGGACATGAGGAAACGATGACGTTTTAGGGGATGAAACTAAGGGGTTGGTGGGGAGTTGTCACTTTATCTGAGAGAGAGGGAAGAAGCAGGTGAGGTTTTGAGCATTTTGTCACAAGGTTTTGTCGTATAGAGTAGTGTTGGCTTCTGAAGCTGAGAATGTGTTTCAGCTTTTTTTCTCTAATCTCACCTCTGTTTTTTTATTTTTTCCCAGTGATTATTAGCATATTTTAATGCTTAACTTATTATCTTATTTTTAAAATTTTTTCAATAACACATTAGACAGCGGAGCAAATCACTATGGTTAGCAGCAATCTCTTGAGCAACCCACTTCCTCTTGTCAATAATACAAACTTATCTACTGTGGTCGATTATCAGATTTATTATTTAACATGTTTCCAGTTTTTTTCTTACAAGTGGAAAACATAGATTCCAACTTTATGTGGATCTTTTTCTATTGACAATTGGCCCATAATTGCCCCCACTAAAGAATTTCAAAATGATATCAAATTTCAACTGTGAATAAGACGGGTTTAGAGGTTCACGGGATGAGTCTTGTGCCAGTTGAAAACGACGGTTTGTTCTATTAAGTGGCGGACACAGTCCACAGAATCTAAAGCCCACTAGAAGTAGAACTGTGCGTTAAAACTTAAAAAGATGTGTTGTGTACATTGCATCTATATTTTTTTTTTTTTTTTTTTTTTTTTTTTTT